ACTTGTCTCGCCCTCCTCTTGCATGCGTATGCGTGGGCGGGTAGGGGCAAAGAGACTCGCTGCGGATCCAGGAGCCATGGCTGCTCGAGTACCAGAAGCTCCATGCCTCCATCACCCGCGGCGATCCCTCCGCCGCTCGCTATGCTGTCTGGACCTGCAAGGCCATGGTGGATGGGCCAAGGCCGTCGGCGGAGGAGGAGGGTTTCATGGGATGCACAGGGTATGGGAACCGCCTGCTGGGGGTGACGACGACGCTGCTGTACGCAATCGTGACGGGACGCGCGCTGGCGATCGACTGGCCGGGGCCTCGACCGCTGCAGGAGTACTTCAGCTCTCCGGGGGGTCTCTTCGACTGGACCCCTCCCCCCCACCTCCTCCTCGCCTCTTCCGTGCACCTCGATGACCGGGTCTCGAGGAGGAACCTGAGGGTCACCCTGCTGACTCGCAACCTGACGGAGGAGCACCCGGAGCAGGTGGTCTACATCACATGCAACGAGGCCTTCTTCGTCGACCTGATGCGCAACCCGTTCTACTCCTCCTCCCTCCGCTCCATGGGCGTCCGATCCCCAGAGCAGGTCATGGCGGCGCTGCGGTACTTCCTCGAGCCAGCTGGGCGGCTGCTGGAGGAGCTGAACAGGCTCTGGAGCTCCTTCGACGGCTGCATCACTGTAGGCCTTCAGGTTCGTTTCGGCACGAGCAAGACGAGCCCGTACGCCATCATGAGCCGAGAGGAGGCAGAGATGTTCTTCGAGGTGGCACGAGCAGTAGGAAAAGAGCAGCAGGAAAAGGAGCGGCAGCCACAGCAGCCTGTGGAGGAGATGGGGGAGGAGCGGGAGGAGCGGGAGGAGCGGGAGGAGCGGGAGGAGCGGGAGGAGCGGGAGGGCAGGTGCGTAAAGATGTTCTTGTCGACAGACGATGTGGAGTATGCGGAGGAGATGAAGGGGAGGGAGAAGGACCTTGTTTTCTACGACGGGCAGGTCGGGCATGTCGACTGCACGCAGGACGAGGAGGAGCTGCTGAAAGTTTTCGTCGACCACTGGACGCTGGCGAACATGGACGAGATCGTGTGCTCCGTTCCCAGCACCTTCGGCTTCTCAGCTCGCATGCTGAACGTCAGTGGGAGGACAAGCTTGCACGCGGTGATAGCGAGGAGGTTCAGGCTCAACAGGAGCCAGCGGGAGCAGCACAAGTTCTGGTCTTGCGGGGAGCAGGACGTGTGCTTTTGCGGCACCATGGGGATCGCTGGGGACCTCTGCACGGGGAAGTTGCAAGATGTTGTTTTCCGCATCACAGAAGCCTACCTGGTGCACGACGAGGAGGAGGAGGGGAAGAGAGGGAAGGAGAAGGACGAGGAGGGAGGGAGGCTGGTTGACGATGTACCTCTCAAGGTCATCATCTCCTGCTTCCTGTACGGAGAGCTGGCAAACGTTCCCCTCACGTCTCCCTACACTGAGAACACAACCCTGTATGTGTTTGTCAACGGGATACCCTCTCCTCCAATCGACGTCAACTGCGACGACCCGCGCCCTTGCGCAATCGTGACGTTGGTGCCGCGACAGCAGCTGCAGGAGGAAAGAAACGTCATCGAGCTTTCCCTGTTTGTCGGCTCCACCCATATCGATTACATGGACATCGTCTTCGGAGAGAAGGAGCGGGAGCAAGAGGAGCACCAGGAGCACCAGGGGCAAGAGCAGCAGCAGCAGCAGCAGCAGGGCGGACAGGACGGACAGGAGGAGCCAGCAGAGCAGGAGCTTCAGCACTTTGAGTCGAGTACGAGTTGCCTCAAGGAGGAGGTGAGCTGCTGCTGCATCGGCTGCTGGGGAGGTTGCTGAGACGTTGCAGGTGAGCTCTCTCGCCCACGAGTCGCAGGTCATTGGCTTCTACGGCCAGGCGTCGGAGACGAGAGAAGCAGGCTTCAAGTTTGAAATCTCAGTCTCCTTCCTCGACATGAAGCTGGTCAGGCTGCTGCTTTCTCCTCCTCCCTCCTCCCTCCTCCCTCCTCCCTCCTCCCTCCTCCCTCCTCCCTCCTCCCTCCTTCCCTCCCTTCCTACCTCCCCCCTTCTCCTTTTCCCTTCTTTCCCATCATGAAAGAGGTCAGGTAATGGTCTCACTCAGGTATTACAAGCTTATAGCAGGAAAGAAGCAGGAGACATCCGCTTCCGCATGAGCTCCCTCAACAAGTAAGACATGACGTTCTTGATTTCTCCTCATCCCCCTCAGCCCCCAGGATTTCATCCTTGTCACGCAGCAGCTCGATGCGTATCCCGGCGAACCTCCAACGGAAGTGACGTCATCAACGGGATGGTTCCGCATGCCGGCGCTGCTGGACCAGTGGTGGGGGGTGACCTTGCGGTCTGCCGCCTTCAACGTCCTGCTCATGAACTCCATCCTCGCCTCTCCCTCCCTTCAGCAGACTCTGACAGCTGCCCTGCCCTTGCAATGCACGCGGACTGAAGAAGAGGAGCGCCAAGTTGTTGAGGTGGAGAAGATGCCGGTGGTGGTGATGAACATTCGGGAGCGAGAGGACAGGAAGGTATAAACTTCCTCGTGCTGCCATGCTCTGACCGCCTGCTGCTCCCAGCAACACATGGCCTCCATGCTGCATCGCCTTGGCTTCGAGAACGTTTCCTTCCCCCTGACGATCAGCAGACGAGACGTGAAGGAAGAGGAGCTCGTACAGCAGGGGAAAGTCTCGGTCGAAGGCATCCGATCTCTCCGAGCAAAGTTTGGTCAGGACGCGATCAAACCTTACATCGCACACGCTTTGTCGTACACACAGCAGGTGGGCCTTTAGTTTCCCTCCCTCACTTGACACGAACTTTGACTTGTCAGGTACAAATGGCCATCTCTTCTCATTCTCCCTGGTTTGCGATCATGGAGGACGATCTAGTCCCTGCCTTCGAGCCGTCTGCCCTTCTCCGCTACCTCTCCCTCGCCATCTCCCAACTCCCGCCTTCGGGCGACATCCTCTACCTCGAGTGAGTAGAGCTTCAGCCCTGCCTCTCAGTCTGACACGGGAGTCTCAGGTACTGCTGGGAAGACTGTCAGGTCAGCGCCTCTTCTCCTCCTCTCAGCCCCGACGCTCTTGCCAGGGCCTCCTCTACAGCCAGCCTCTCCTCCACAACGTGGCCGCAGGCGTCAACACCGAGTTCCTCGGCATCGCCAGGGCGGTGCGACCGGCATGCACAGGCGCTATCGTCATGACGGAAGGAGGAGCGAAGAAGGTTGCTCGGGCCCTCGTGCCCATCTTCCATGGCCTCGACGACATGTAGCGAGTCTGTTGGGCCTGCTGCTGGATGAGAGCTGGGTGCTTGCAGGATTCCGAGGCTCATCGAGGAGGGGGTGGTCGAGGCCTACGTCACCGTCCCCCCCTTGTTCTACCAGAGCAGCTTCTTCGGTTCCGACGCAGGTCGACGACACCTTGAGATGCTGCAGGCAAGCTCCGGTGGAGGGCAAGGAGTGGGGGGAGGGAGGAAGAGAACGGCAGAGGAGAACAGGAGGGGAGAGGAGAAGTAGAAACAAGGGGAGGGGAGGGGAGGGGAGGACAGACCAGAGGAGCGAAGTACAAGGGTACTGATGTTCCTCTTGCAGAAAGGAAACGGTGAAGGCATAGGAAACTTTCACGCCATCGTCCTGCCCGCCTGCCTCAAGGAGCTCAATCCTGTGGTGGGGTACGGCCTGGTGTCTTGGTGGGAGCAGTCGGGTGAAGAGACTTTCCTGCCGGTGTGAACCTGACTGCCGCTGGTGCAGACGCCGCTACCAGAGCTCGTGCATCGTGGGAGGCAAGCTTCACAGCAGTTGGGGAGGCGCGAGCGGCAAGTGGGACGGGAGGAGGGCTATGCGGTTACGACTGTGACGAGCAGGTGGGGGACGATGACACCCTTGTGGTGGACGTGAAGATGGTCGACTTGTGGGGCTGGTGGGGGAGCGAGGAAGTGTCACTCGCCTTCTGGTCGCGCATGCGGTCGGACCTTCAGTTCGACATGCTCGTGGGAAGGTGTCGAGAGGTCGTGGGGAGTGCTGGCTACTGACGTCTGCTGGCTACTGACGTCTGCAGGACTGCAAAGGGGCAACGAGACCTTGTCCTCTTCTTTCAGCAAGACAGCGACTGCTTTAATCTCTCTACCAGCTCCTTGTGCAACCTCCTGGTCGAAGCTGAGGTACTCGCTCGTACTCACCTGCTTTACTTGACCTGCAAGTCAGTTCGTCAAGGAAGAGCGCTACGTAGAGTTGTACATCTCACTTGTCTTGCTGCCTGCATAAACTACGACACCTCGTATCGCATATTGCTACATGTCCTCTCTCCTCCGACTCCCCCCTGCTCCTTAAAATCTCCCTTGCTCCTACTCCTCTACGTCTCTACTCCCCTCCTCCCTGCCTTCCCTTCCTCACTCCTTCCCTCCCCTCCCCTCCCCTCCCCTTCCTTCTCCTCCCCTCCCTCTTCTCCTCTCCCTCTTCTCCCCTCCTCACGAGCATGCCCGGTCTATTCCCTCGGAACAAACTTTCAGAGTTTATTTCTTGTTCTGGTCAGCAGCAGGACCTACTCGGGCCAGGGGTCAACCAGCGGAGATGGAGGACGGGGAGCTTCGCTCGGAGCTTGTGCTAAGACAGGCGATGCAGGACGCCCTGCTGACGCTTCATGGCGATGCTCCTGTACAGTCCTCGCGCACCGCCGAGATCTCGGAGGAGAAGATGAAAGAGCTGGAGGACGGGAGAGTTGACGTGATCTCGGTGAGTTGGCTGGCTGCGAGAGGACTGCTGTAACTGATGCACATGCTCAGATCATCGTCGGGACGGGGTTCACATGGAGTTTGAAGAGGAACGGCAAGTCAGTCTACGGGAAGGCGGTGCAGGACCTGGCGCTGCTGCGATGGTTCTTATCCTCCATAGTGAAGCCCGGCATCCTGCTGTCCGTGTACTCCACGAGCGGAGAGAAGGGCCAGAGGACCTACAGGGGGAGGGTGGAACAACTCGATGTGGGAGACGAGTCAAGGCGCATCCGCTTCAAGTACTTCGACGATCCCGCTGTTCACACTCTCTTCGCCAACAGCACCGTCGACATCTTGGACGACACAGGGGAGTCGGACTTCTCGCTGCAGACGCTCAGCACGTACCTTGAGGAGGGCCATAGGATCGAGGACAAGGATTTCCCCCTGTGCAGCGAGCACGCGCTAAATGAGTACCTCCAGGATGAGCAGGACGGCGTATACAGTATCAACACGATCGAGGAAGAGGCTCCCTCCGGCTTCATTCCCCTCAGGGTCACATACAAGTGGGAGGACCAAGTTCAGAGCATGCTCTGCTACCGGGTCCGAGCTTCGGGAGTGTATCCGCGGTGGATGAAGTACGACGGCCATATCACCACCTGCGAGCAACCGTGGGAGGCAAATGACGTCGACAGGCTGCGACAGGATGACAGGAAGCAGATCTTCACCAACGAGTCCGAGCTGCGGGTCAGCTATAAGTACCTCAGGAAGAGAGTCTACTTTGCGGGGGAGAAAGGTGACGTGAGGAGAAGCGCTGACGCGTTTGAGTGATTGGATTGTGAATGCAGAGCAAGGGTTTGCGGTGAGAAAGTTTTCTAGAAAGTTTTCGGAGACTTCATCCAAAGGTGAGCTTCCAACATCAAGCTGCTCATTCACTGGTTGGAGATTGACTTGTCATTCACAGAGCGCAGATCTTCGATCTGGTCTATGTTCTCATCGAATTCCTTCAAGGACAAACTTCAGCAGCCGATGTCGGCAAAGGTGGCGGGTCGTTTGCGAATGGCTTCATCGATAGCTCTCTTCCTCGTGATCCTGACTTTCATTCTCGTAGTGGTGATAAATCGACTAGTCTCTTGAGCCCGTCATCTGTCCGAAAACCTCTTCCTCACTTGAATGACCTCGTGCAGACCGCTGCATTTGAACCTAGTCCCATCCATACAGCGCGCGTATCGCAAGGATGCGACGATTAGGTCGTCATCCCCTTCTCGCAGCTCTGGATCTTCACTTCGCTTCCTTCTGTCTGACTTACCAACACATCCTGCCACTGACCACCCCTTTCCCTACGCTTTCTCCTCCTCTCCCTCCCCCTTCCTCCCCCTCCCCCTCCCTCCTCCCCCTACCCCACTTTTCATCCAGTCTGCACACAAGGCTTCATTTATATGTATTGTAAATTATATATATATATTACTTTGTAAAGTGTTTGCAGTAAAAGTCATTTTTGTGGTACAATCGAATAACAACAGTTGTAGAAGAGACGTTGGAACTGAACGACGGTAGGCATGGCAGGGCGAGGAGGAGGGCGAGGAGGAGGGCGATGACAAGGACAAGGATCGAACAAGCATGACGGCAAGGGATGGGCCTCAACGGATGTCTTGAAAGACTTGACAGGGGTTTACAACTCACTTGGTCCTGAGCACCTTGAAACTTAAGACGGGGGGGATGGTAACAGAAGCAGATATGCAGTGGTTGATCCATGGTTCATGACAGCCCTGATACAACAAGATGCACGTTATGAAGCGCAGGCAAGTGCCATGATGTCAGAGAGAGCCAGCAGCCGAACGGTCTCCGTCACGGAGATGAAGGCGTTGCTGCAGGAGCAAAGCAGGAAGCTGCAGGCGCTTGCTGACAAGCTCAGCGCTTCCTCTCCGTTGGTGGGTGAGAATGAGCAGAAGGAGAGAGAGACTTTGGCCATCATGCGCAAGAACTCGATATTGGATGCGATGGTAAACCAGAACGAGAAGCTTGCGTTGATCGCCGACAGGATCCTCGATCAACTTGATAGTGTGGCCTTTGCAGGAAGGAAGATCCAAGAGCTCTTCGACACCATTGACACGGATGCAAGCTACGATCTGAGCAGAGACGAGTTTGAAAACTCTCTCAAGAACCTGGGATTCCATATAGAGAAACGAGACACGGACCTGGTCTTTCAGTTGCTCGATAAAGACGGGAACGGAAAGATCGATAGGAACGAGTTCACTCAATGCCTGATGCAAAGGAGGTGCCGGCGGCAGATATCGAACTGGGTCGACAGCCTGGGGCTGAACAAGCTGATAACGTTGAAGCTTATGCAAGGAATCCATGAGGACGAAACAGACCCCTTGCAGTTCTTGATGTATAAGCCCAGTGCCATCCAGCAAAGTCTGAACTCATTGAAAGAGGACATCGAAAGAGTAATGAAATCCTCTCTGGACAAGATGAGGAAGACGATGAAAGCAACAATCGTGGAAGATGATAAGGCCAAATCCAAGTTCGTCTCGGGGCAGCAGGAGGCGATCTTCGTTGACCTCCCTCTCTTCATGGAGGGGCTAGACAATCTCATCGGCCTGCCCCATAAGAACGTGCGAGAGGCCATGGCGAGGGAGCACGAGTCAGAGGAGCCGTTCGTGGCAGGGTACCTCGAAGACACAACCACCCCCAAACAAGAGTGGGAGTTTGTGATGAACCCAAGGCCTGACGTGCGTTACCCTGGCGAGACCTCTCATGCTGACGTTGAGAACTACACCAAGAGGATGCGCAAGCTAGTGTCTGACCTGAAGAAAGAGCCCATGTGTCAGCTGGCGGAGCTGTCGGAAGAGGAGCTCATCGGGCTCCGGCTCTACACAGGCCCCATGTACAACTTGTACAACCCCACGATCAGGTGCGGCCCCAGCTCCTGCCCTGCAACCTGACGCTGCTTTCTTAGGGAATTTCTGCATCAGAAAATGGACGAGAGGAAGCAGCACATGTGCGCGAAGCGAGTCGGAGGCATGAAGTACGTCACAACGATCAGGATGATCGCCTCCGGCATTGTGAAGCTTTCCAAGTTCTGCAAGCTCCCCGTCGAGCGCAAAGTCTACCGCGGGCTGAATGCCATGACTCTTCCTGACTTCTTCTTCTGGGCGGACAAGAACGGCTTCAAGGGGGCAGTGGAGCCAGCCTTCATGTCCACCTCCCTCGAGAAGCGAGTTGCCCTCAACTACCTCAACCGAGGAGGCAACTTGCCGATCCTGCTGGAGATCGATGTTGGGCAGGTGGACCGAGGAGCAGACGTGAGAGGGAGTGCGGGAGGAGGAGGAGGAGGGCTGATGTTGCCCTGCAGGTGTCGTGGCTGTCGCAGTATCCCAGCGAGCACGAGATGCTGTTCCCTCCGCTCTCCAACCTCGAGGTCGTCGGGCCGGCGTCGCTGGAGCTCTTCGGTGCCTCGGAGGTAGTGAAGCTCAACGTGCGGGTCAACATCAACCTTAAGAGCCTGACGCGCGAGCAAATCGAGTCGAGGAGGAAGACGCTGCACCTCGAGTCGCTGAACTTCATGATCCAGGAGATCGACAGAGACTTGCACTCGTACCTCAACGAGCTGCTTGAGAAGCATCGCGATCCGAAGCTGTACAAGGACGAGGGGAACGGGCTGGCAGTGGTGGAGAAGATCCTCAACGAGTGTGTGGAGCTGCGGAACGATCACGAAGCCCGCCCGGACGAGAACTACAATGAGAACCACCTGCACCGGGTGCAGGTCAAGGAGATCTCGAACATCCAGGAGATCGCGCGGAACAAGTTGAACTACTGGGTGATGAACGCGGGAGTGACCAAGGACAACATCTCCTCCATCTCGATGTTCCAGGTGTGGAACCTCGAGAGCGGCAAGCTGTGGGTGAAGTACAACGAGAGCAAGAGAGCAGCGCGGGAGAACAAGGAGACCGAGGTCCGAGTGCGTCAGTGTGCGGTCAACTTGTCAAAGTTCCTCGGGTACCTCGGGGACGACGTCGTCGACCAACCGCTCGGGCACGACAAAGAGACGTCGCTCATGCACGCAAGCTCGCAAGGAGATGCGAGGCTGACTGAACTCCTGCTGGATGCCGGCTGCCACGTCAACTTCGTCAACGAGCATGGCGACACCGCGTTGCTGCTGGCGGCTCGGAACGGGCACACGGACTGCCTGAGCCTGCTGGTCGAGCGGAACGGGAACCCATCGCATGCTAACCACCAGGAGGAGACTGCCCTGATGCACTCGAGCAAGTACGGGCAGCTGGAGTGCGTGCAGCTCCTGCTGGGCCTCTCCAACGGGGACGAGCTGATCCGACAGAAGAACAAGAGCGGAGCTACAAGCATCCACCTTGCTGCTGACAACGGGCAAGAGCACGTTGTCCTCTTCCTCTGCAAGCGCGTCCCTCTCGATGTCTTCCTCATGCGGGCCAACAGCGGCAAGTCGTGCCTGCACTACGCGGCTGGCAGGGGCCACCTCAGGACAGTCCAGCTGCTGGCGGAGAAGGGAGGAAGGGATCTGTGCGAGATCAAAGACAACCAAGGGAGGACGGCTGAAGAGTTCGCCACCAAGAGCGACTTCCCTGACATCTCTGACCATCTCCGCAAACTTCACCTGCTGGACTACAAACTCGATCGCGGGGGTCGGGGCGAGGAATCAGTAGCTGACTGATGACTTTTTGATTGATGAACTTGAAGTAAGTGAGTCCGAGGCAGGCGCACGCCTGCGTTCAAGTTGGAACTTATCACGAGGTACTAGTTGAACTCAGCGGGCCGCCGGGCGGGGCCTGCCTAGGCTATGAGGCTGAGCCTACTAGAACCGTGAGACTGAGCCGCTCAGAGCTCATGATGGCATCCTGGGCGCGGCCCGATCTCTGACGATCATGTGACTCCCTGCCAGTGACGCCGGCTTCCGACGGCGAAGTTCACAGGTTCAAGGCTGGCGGGCCCGGGCCGGGCCCGGGCCCCGCGATCAGCGGCCGGGCGACGGTGACCGTGCCAGATCGGACACAGCGGCCACTCGGCTGCCCAGTCCGACGGTCACGGTTGTCGGACTGGGTTAGGCCTGGTTTAGCCTGAGACTCCTGAGACCCGGCTGCCCGTGGGCCCGGCAGCCGGGCGCCGGGGCCCGCCGCCCGGCCGGGCCGCCCGGTCTTACAAGGGTAGTTTTTTTTCTCAAACTTAAGTTAAATGTATAGTACCCTCTTCTCTCTTTACTCAAAGATAAGTTAAACATCAGTACGAGGACAATGAGCCCGGTGGTACAACGGACGTACTTGAAGCATAGGATGGTAAGACTATGCTAGGACCTCACCACTTTGAAGATACTGTACTAACTATGGTCATATTGGTTTCCTAGGACATTGAGCCCTACCGAATGATAGATCTTCTAGCCATAGGACTCGCTATGACCAAACTATCCCAATATGCTTGCAGCCTCTGTTGCCGCTACCCTACCCCACCCTACCCTACCTCACCCCAGTCTACCCCACCCCAGAATAATACATACCCTGCCCTGCAGTCCAATAACCATACCCTACCCCAAACAATTGAACCTAGTGAAAGACCCCTGGGAATATTCTCATTCTCTCCTTTTTATCTAAATGACTCTCAAGTGATTTGCCAGTACATTCTCCTCATCGATTTATTCTGGACCCCTTCTGAACAGAACCCCTCAAATTTAGCAGGAGGGGTCGTCAGCTACAGCATTAGAGGGGTACCGCACCTCATCGCAAGAACACTCTTCATTCCCACCCATGACGTTTTGACACTTCACCCTACCCCCTCATTCCTCAGTCACTACCCCTCCTAAACAGCTAATACTACTCACATTTTATGCTACCCCTGTCGTCATATTGAAACCACCCCCAATGAGACCGATGGCTCCATTACCCCCTCAAACATGATTATTTCATGGGGTAGTCTTGAAGTTTTTTCCACCCCTACCCCAATGAGACCTGCTCCCCAATAAAGTCAGCAATGTGAGCATATGGAAATGGGCTAGAACTAACGGGGGGATGGGAATGGAAGGAGGAAGCGGGTTAGAGTTTCAATCGAAGATAAACGATAGGATCATGCAAGAAGAGAAGAACAGCTCATGAAGACAGTTCTAGAGCTCTTGGACTGCTGTCTTTCATATAGAGTAGGTCACAAAAGAGATCGATTTGACGGCCACTTAGATCGATTGCAACACCTTACCCACTAGGGTATGCGCATGAGTATCTATTGAAAAGAAGTTTGGAGCAGAGAACCCGCATGTGCTGCTCATAAATGTCTGTAAAGCGAATCCCAGAAATAGTCGACCAGTTTGATGTTTTGCTGTTATTTTCATTTCTCGCGTACTTTAGCCATGCACTAGACAGATTTATGCAGGGATTAAGAACGTCTTCCCTCCTGTTTCTCAACCTTTGATGGCCTTTGCCTCCATTGTATGACTTGGCGTGGACCTTATCCCTTTCACAGACAACTCTTTCCCTTCAAGACCCATCAAACTATCAAGCACCCCTCCTCATCAAGAACCTTGCCTTCTCGCTGAAGTAACGTCGTATTCGCTCAATGCAGAACTTTATCATGCCGCAACCCTTTGTTGCGGTACATGGGGGAGACCCTTCTCAGTATCCCCTGAACCCATCTTACAACACACATGGGGGAGATCCTTCTCAGTTTCCCCTGAACTCATCTTACAACGTGTTCAGCAATCAAGGCCCGGCTGGTTTTCAGGGTTCGCAGGATTCCTGGATGAGCAACCAGCAGGTTGCAAACTCGAACCAGATTGTGCTGGAAAATCAAATGAATATGAAGTCTGAAGACTTGAACTCAGCCAGAACAAACTTGTATCCAGAGTTATCCACCGAGAGCAAGAAAAGAAAAGTTGAGAGCAGCCACAGCGTTGAATCTCATGGTTGCTTGTATGACTCCGACTCGAAGCATGACGACGACGAGAGAAGGCTCGGAACAGGTTTCCTCCGTCTCCCGGATGTCATCGACAAGATCGCGCAAGAGGGCACGGCGTTGCGGTGGGATCAGGGTGAGGCGGCCTACGTTGTGCTGGATGGGCGAGCGTTCGAGAATCGTTTCAACGAGCTGAGGTACACCCGCGGCAAGAAAGTCGACAACGCTCGTAATAGACCGTTCAGCCGCATGCCCACCCACTTCACGCTCATCAGGGGCGAGAAGTGGGCTGCAACGGGCACCATGTTCCGACCCAAGAAAGAGGATGGCAAGCCTGCTCCTGTGCAGCATGACTGGATCGAGGCCTCAACAGTAAGGGTGACCCTAGGATCCAGTCATGACAAGTTCCAGATCTCACTCCAAGAGTTTCTTGACATCACCGGAGCAGGCGATCTCTATGCTGACGCCTTGAAGAGCAGAGGGGATGCTCTGAGCTCCACGGCGACGACAAGTCCCGAGAACTCGACGTCTAACAACTCCACCCCTGCGAATGACTCGCCCGAATGCCCTTCATCTCCCTCCAAGCTGACAGACCCCATCGATGATCCTTCCTTCGCGCTGTTGTCACGAGAGCCGTCTCGTTTCCTCATGGACAACTTCGGCCAGGACGTGATGCTTGACTCTAACGACGTGACTGCCATTCTGGGCACAATCTGGAACAGCGATGCTCGTGGAGATCAAGCGTATTTCTTCATGAGGAAGGCCGGCATTGCTCCCTTCCAGAACGGAGCGATCGTTTGCTTGAGAGACGGCCTACTCGAAGGAGATGCGTCGCGAGGGTCAGGCTGCCTCTACCTCATCGTGTCCGACAAGAACGCAAAGTGGAAGGGAGAGCCTATCCCTACTCCTGAGGAGGAGGAGAGAGGCCACTGGTGTTGCTTCCTTGGTCAGGTCCCCGTGGTCGTCGAGGGGCGCGTGGCATGCGGTGATTACATTGGCCCCATGTGCGATGGAAGTGGCAAAGGGCGGGTGGTGGCGTTGGGGGAGAGCCCGGTGATTGGCATTGCGCTGGCAAACAAGGAGGAAGCAGGACCTGCGGTAGTGAAGACGATGTGCTTTGCCGGGCTGAATGCAATCTCGTTGAATTCAAGGATGGACGAGAAGTCGTACAAGGAACTGTTCGAGCAGGGCAGGAGGATGCAGGAGTTGGTTGAGAACGTGCAGCGAGACGTGAAGGAGGTGAACCAGAGGGTCGGGGCTGTGACGCAGAAGGTAGGAGACGTCGAGGCCCGTGTAGGAACGACAGACACCACTGTTCGCTCCCTTTCCAACAAGCTCAACGTCAACGTGCAGCTGCTCGACTCCCGCCTTCAAGATGTTGAGCGATCGGTTGCCTTCAACTTTCACCGCATGATCCCTACCCTTCCTGCTCACGACGGCGAGTGGCGCTTCCAGGTGGCCGGGGGATCATGTCAGTGTCAGTTCAGTAAGATCTGGCGTATCATCCTTGTGTTCGCCCTTGTCCTCGTGAGCGTGGCGGTAGTCCTCCGCCTAACTCGTCCTGCTCCTTGCCCAGGTAATCGCCAACTTGTCTGTCCTCAAGGTTTCGAGCTCAAGCCGGGACGTCTGTGCGTACCTCCCAACAGAGACAGGAAGCCGCCGGTGGTTGCTACCTGTGCGCTGGCGGGAGAAAAGGATCAAGGTGTTTGAGGGAACATGCGTGAGTTTGTTGTACATTAATAAATCTTGTGAATCTTCTCGATTCCTGCCGACGACCCGCTAGGAGGGGTGGAAGAAGAAGCTGGCGAACAGCGACTGGGCAAGAAGTGAGGGAGAGGACAGGGTGGGAGGATGGCAGGCCTGCAGCGGCGCGACTAGCTCCTCCTTGTATCTCTTGGCGATCTTACAGACGCGCGTAGCAAAACAATCTTCGTCGATCTGCAGGTGACAGTGAGAGAGAGAGAAAGGATGAAGATGGAGGGGAGGGGAAGAAGGGAGGGGAGGAGAATACCGACGGACAGACAGTCATGGGAAGGAGGCGGTGGGAGGAAGGGCAAGAAGTCAGGGATAGAAAGTCTGAGGGCGACCTTGGGCGGTCGAGATTTGAAGTCTTGGACGGCTTGTAGGAGGTAATGCCTGAAGCTCGTGAGGAACGGAGGAGGCAGGAAGAGGAGGGGAGAGAGGAAGGCGAGGGGGCGGTGGCAGTAGGGTAGCGGAGGGAACGAGGAAGAAAGGCACGACACCTCTTCCTATCGGGAACCCCAAGGAGCAAGCGAGCAATCAGCTCGTCGAGTTGTGCATGCGGACAAGGAGGGGAGAGTTGGCAGCATTCTGCCATGTTCCCCTTCTGTCCCTGGCTGCCATGTAGGTGCCCAGAACAGTCTCCCTCCTCCCTCCTCTCGTCCTTGCGTCGGACACGCTGAGACGTTGATCAGCACAATAACGATGATCGATGAGACCACCTCAACATGACTTGACACACCCAGCCAACTTCCTCCTCCTCCTCCTCCTCCTCCTCCTCCTCCTGTATCTTCTTCCATAAGAGTCGCCGCAGCATCTGCATCAAAATCAGATGAGAAGGACGCATGCAGAACAGCCACCTGTCGACCTTTCTCCTGCTCTTGCGTCTATCGAGCAACGCAGGAGCTGGAGGGAGGAGGAGGAATCTGTCCATCATCACCCTCACCTTCTCCTCCTCTTCCTCCCCCTCAGCTTCTCACCAACTCGCAGATGTCGTTCTGCCCTCACCAGCTTGCACTCAGTCGCTCTCGCCCTGCCGTCGGCTCGCTCAGCTTCCTCATGGTCAAGATCGCGCTGCGCTCACTTGCTGAAGGAGGTCAGCAGGAGGGAGCAGGAGTTGTCCTGCAAGGTGCTGCCGGTCATGCGGAGCTGCGGGAGGCATGAGAATTGAGCAAGACGAGAGAGGAAGGGACTTGTGCACGATGCGAGCATACGATCGCACTGCCGTTGAGATGACCGCTAAACCCAAGGGTGCAAGCTTCGATGATGCACCTGTCTCAAGAAGAGGAGAAGGAGGAGACGAGGACGAGGACGAGGACGAGGACGAGGACGAGGAGGACGAGGACGAGGACGAGGACGAGGACGAGGAGGACGAGGAGGACGACGAGGACGAGGACGAGGACGAGAAAAGTGCCGCAAGCGAGGGGAAAACGAGGAGGAGGAGGAGGAAGAGGAAGCAAGTGAGAACAGTGCTTGTTACGTCACTTGATGTCTCACTTGACGTCTCCCTTGAGAAAGATGCCGTCTGCGCATTTAAGGTGCTGCTCGTCGATCCCTCCAATGAAGCACAAGGACAGCAGCAAGCCTGGACGCTCGTCCTGCTCCTGCTCCTGCTCCTGCTCCTGCTCCTGCTCCTGCTCCTGCATCTCTTTCTCCTCCTCAACGACATGTTGCACAGATTGTGACCCCACACAAACGATCGAGTCTCCGTAGCCGGACAGGAGAGAGCAGAAGGAGAAGTTCCATCTTACTCCCCTGGTCAAAACCTCCTCCTTTTCCTCCTTCTCTCCGCCAAACGTCAGCAGCAGGCAAGGCCTGAAGCTGTCCAGCAGCTGTATCCAATCAGAGCCTCCATTGTCCACGTCCTCGTCCTCGTCCTCACCGACTCGATCGAGACAAAGGTGACAGACGTGAAGTAGCCCCTAGAGCCCTCGCGCACGATCCACCTGCACATGACCAGCTTTTCATCCCTTATGCTCCTTCCTCTCCGCAATTCCCCCTCTCCAATCCCCTTCGTATCCCTCCCTCCCTCCCTCCCTCGCCTCCCTGCGAGGTTGTGAAGCTCGTAAATCGCTGACATGATCCAGAAGCGGGGCACAACGATTGGGACAAGGTACTCTCTGAGGAGGGCCGGATGAGCCCTCCCAGGAGGGGGGGGAGGAAAAAACAACAGATTGGACCCCCCCGGCTCGTAGGGAGCGGAGGGGGGAGGGATGTGTGTCTTTCGATGGGATGA